AAGTCTTGTTGATGGACTTTTTTCCCCTCCAATATGTCTGACTTGCCTGGAAAGACAATTACTTTAAATGGGTTAAACATCAGTTAAAAAGTTATGGTGTCTTACAGCATACATCTGTCTTCCCCAAACCTCCACTGTTTTGAAATGTTTGTGTACTTGTGCATTACGGATTAGAAATATTATGGTCAGACAATAAGTGAATACTATCACTAGAAGACTGTCAGTAATGTGATTCTAAAGAATGAAATCTTCAAAATGCTCTTTTACTTCTCTGTTCTACATATGGGCCTTGTGCTATCTATCAGGTATTAGATACTATAATTTCCAGTAAGGCCTGCAGGATGGCCTGCAGCGGGCACATATCGTAGCCAAGAACAAATACTATCTGTATCCGAAAGCGTTTATAACTCACAAGGATTTGTAATATTTGTGCATCTGAAAATTTACAACCGCAATTATTCACGGCTAGCAAGACAGTCCCAGTTATGTTTTATTGCTCTTTTCAAATTCGTGTTGCCAATATCTTAGTCAGTGACTCAGCAGATTCCTCTGGGTGTGATTCTCAGAAAAGCACCTAAACCGTTCACATGAACTGTTGATGGCCATAGACTGCTGCAGACGTAATTTTCTGATTCAATGAAACAAAAACTTAAAACAGTGTCTAAACGTTTCATCCTTCTTCTTTTTTAAAGCAGTTAATATATTTGGGTTCTGACTGTGTTGTCACGACTGATTTTATTTACCGGTAATTTTGTCACACAAAATGATGCTACAGATGGAGCTGTAGTTTTGTTACTTTATTTAAACGGTTACGCTTTGCTATAAAACTGTCAGCACTATTAATCTGGGACGGAGCTATTGGCTGATGATCTACCTTTGATTTGCAAAGCTGCCTACGATCTCATGTTGCTTATGTAAAGTGGCTGACCTCCCGTGAATCTTGGAAGATAATTTTATGCCTGTGTTTTTCTCATCATATAAAACAAGAAAATATTTAGTGCAGATCGGCTCATGACAATGATGCTATGACCTGGAAAATTTATCTTTGCTGTGGGAATATAGAGACCCATTGTGATCAGCAAAACTGAGCAATAAATCTATTTTGAACAGGTAAGCTCTTAGATACGTTTAGGAATAACTAAGGAATTTGGTTGCCATGGCACTGACAAAGCCCATCAGCAGTTGAACAGTAATAATGACCAATCAATTCTGATAAGCTGACAACCATGTGTGTGTGTGCAAATAGTAAAAAAAGAGTGGCTGAACAAGACTTAATACACCGCACTGACTGTTAAGTTTCAGTTTATTCGTCCTTTACGTGACGCACCAAAGACTTAATACTCACTATCATAACAAACATATCGTGGACACCGTTGTTTCACTTGAGCTTTTACTCTCCTGTTTGAAGCTATTTTTATTGAACTGATGCCACATGGCACATTAACCCTCGAGGTCAGGTCTGATGTGCAAACCAAGTCCAGCTATAATAACTCCTCTGACCTCATGCTTTGCAAAATAGATCAGAGCCTGAGAACCGGGGTAACAGCTCACCTCTGGGAGACACTTCTGGTACTGATATTGATGCCTGACAGATGATAATTCAAAGGAATTATTTCAGTGAATATGATGGTTATACACCTAATTGTTAATATTTGAAACAAATGTTGAAAGAAAAATCCAAATTTAGGGTCTTTATAGCCTGTTTGACTGTCTTAGGCTAGCCAGTGTACAGCTATGCCTGCAGCTTTGTGGGAACCTACAGCAGCACAGCATGTGCAATGTTTCAGTATGAAACAGTACATCCTGCTCCTGTTATTTCCATTTCCATCTATATTAAAAAGGAAATAATCTTCAGAAAAGGTAAAGGGGTAATAATGGATTTGAAGTGTCTAAAAATGTAAATTCTGGTTGGCGTTTTTTGTTTTGGATTTTGAAAATTAAAAACAAAATCAGAGAATCGAAAAAGACCAAGTACTTTGAGTTTTCTGTTGTATCTTTCATCACTACACTGATTTACACAAGTCTTAGGGAAAAGCTCGAGTCCCGCTGGCTGTGTTGTTGTCAGAGCCGTGTTTTGAGGGAAAATGCTAACATGCTGATATTAGGCAGATAACATGTTTCCCATGCATTTTGTTTGTTCAGTATTAAACAAAAGAAGGTGACGGCTGACATTTATTTGACTAATACTTTTGTTACTAATTTGATACTGATACTGAAAATATACATGCAAACTAAGCAAACAACAATGAGAGCATACTTTCTGTAATGTCTCCATTTGTTTTCTTTTTTAGTCCATGTTCTAAAATGCTGTTGGAAGAAGTGAATAAATGTAACCATTTACATGCTCACTACTATTATTAGCATTAATATTATAACGTGTGTTAAATTCACCATGAAGAGTAAGAAGAGTTTCTGAATCAAAAGCAATGGCCTTCAGAAGCTATCAGGTGAAACACCTATCAACTGAACCAACACATTAGACAGAGCTCTTGACTTTTTCTGTAAATTCCTTAATGTTTGCATGGTATTTTCCTTTTAATAGGCTGGTTGTACCTAGTATGTTAGGATTAACATGTGATATGGTGTTGAGGTTCTTTAATTTGTGTGATTTTATGCTCTGTGAAACAGATTTTCCCATGGGGACTTTGGAGTATATCTCATCATATTCCGCTTTCTATGTTGTTGCACAGACAGGTAGATTGAAGATGCACTGGGAGTCAATGATGGCCAACCCCAGGTTGTTTCAATTTACATGATGTTGGCGTAGTGGTTTGTGCGCGCCCCATGTGCAGAGGCTGTGGTCGTCGGGCGGGCGGCAAGAATTCCAGTTTGACCTGTAGCTCCTTTCCCAAATGTCGTACCCGGCTTGCTCTCTCTCTAAATTCAGACTCTATCAACTTCCCTGTCATAACAATGAAGGCACAAAAAGCCCAAAAATTAAATCTAGAAAAAAAATGACATCATGTTGTTTATTTCTTTTAATTTGTCGCCTATCTGGGCTCATATAGTTCCCTGTAGACTATGATGTTTTCAATCGTCCTTTCTGCCTGACAAATTACCATTAAAGAATGTCATGCCTGTTAGCATGCACTACAGTCTATAAATCACTGCCTCATCTTTCCCCAATACATCAAAAGGCTACATCATGGGTACAATGGCCTTTGGTCGCTCTGTGTACAGCGAAGATAACATGATATCGACTCGGAGTGGAATGAACACTTTGCTCGAGCTGCTGAAAGGGCTAATAGATTAGGGGCCCCTAGACAAGCCCCCTGTCAATCCCTCCTTCTGAGTGACCTAATGTACCCAGAACAGCTGTGTGAGGGCGCTTAGCAGTTAGGCCAGGATGACAAGTCATTGCTCAGCTTGATCGATGAACGATTACATGAGAAACAGCATAGTTTGTTGAAGGGTATGATGGCAATGCACAAGTTACATTGTGTCCTTATTACATCTTTTTTTAGGTTTATGCTTTCTTGAAGGGCAGTTGTGAAATCTTTTGATAACATCTTTTTTCCATTGCCCTGCACTGGCAGATACATGATAACTCAGGAAGCCTTTTTTTTTTTAAAGAAGGGCATTACAAAAATGGTATTGTAATTCAATTTAATTTCGAACAACAAAGTGTTATGGATGCTGCAGTTATTAATATTTCCACTTGCTTCACTAATCCTCCTTACAGCAGGTGCAAGATAATTCTCAGTTTGTATCCCTTTAGACCAAAGTTCAGCCTTTGAATAAAGTAAATCATTATATTTTTATTAGTTGCCTTTAAAGTTTGTTAAAACTCTATCTTAAAACAAAGCAGATGGATTAACTCTTACTTACATGTACTATACATGTATATGTAAATGGACTTGAGCTAGTATTGTGCTTTTCTAGTCTTCTGACTACTCAAAGCGCTTTTAAACCGCAGGTCACACCTACACATTCACACACTGATGCAGAGGTTTCTAAGTAAAGAGTCCATCAGTATTTACTAATCAATTCATACACATGCCGCAGTCAAAGCAGCAGGAGCAACTTGAGGTAAAGTGTCTTGCCAAAGGACACATCAGACATGTTGCTGCAGGAGCTGGGGATCGAACCCCCAACTTTCGGTTGAGAGACGACGACTCTACCACTGATCCTAAGCCACCCCAAGTAGGTCCTGCTCAGGAGGCTAAATGACACAGTTATACTCCACTGTGGGTTACAACATTGAGCGGGTGATTCTACAATTCATTTGGCAGACACTTTGATCAAAAGCGACAGATATCAGAGAGTAAATACAACACAACCAAGGATCTAAGGAGGAAACAATGTCAGTAAGAGACACAGGAGCTGACGGACAGTGCACAGAGGCAAAACACAACACGACAGCTTTTGTGAGTTCTAATCAGCATCAATACATCATCCTAAAATCATGATTAATCCCTTATTTCATTTGACACTACTGCATCTATATTTCTACTCGTTGCTATACCTCAGTTGTTAGGGCACCAAGACTGAAGAGCAGCCTGGCAAAAGAATTCTATCAGTTTCAGCTTTTATAGCCCTTCTGAAGAACACTGTGTGATAAAGAGATTTTATTACTCTACTATCCGTTATATATACTGTATAAGCAACCACCTGTCTGTGTAGCTTTTTAAAATATGTTAATGATGTGTTCTAGTTGTAATTGTCTGTTTTTAGTTTTTTAATTGTTGTATTGCTGTCTGTGTAGGTTTTCAGTCATCAGATCATGGTCAAGACAACTGGACTGGTTGAAGATCTTGAAGACGTTTCAACTCTCTGTAAGGCTTCTTCAGTTCTAAACTAACTGGTGGAAGTAGCTAGAACTAGGACAGAGTTGTATTGTTGGTTTTAAACTAAGTATTTGGTACATTGATTTTCTAAAAAAATGCTACACAAATATTATCTTTATCCTAATTCTTATTTTTACTATTATATTATCATCTTCATCATCCTCAGGCGGACTGGCACTCAGGGCACGGATAGCAACACAAATGAGACAAAAGTGTAGAGATATGCAATTTTATTTAGAAAGGTTCTGCAGTCCATGTAATGAACACTGAGCAAAGCAGTACAATGCAGGTTCTTGTAGATAACAGAGGAATGATTACTGTAATGATTGTAATCTTAGAACGTATGGACACACATGAAAGTTCATTTACAATGGGATGCATGTACACAAAATGAGTCGACATATCCATAGAAACCAAGGGGAAAATGTTAACTTATTCGAAGTAGGTTAGACACGTTGTGAAACATAAATTGCAGCTTTGCAGCCAGTTGTATAGCGTTTTTTTAGAAGCCAGTATCCGGGTATCTAAATCAAAAGGGAAAAAAGCAAACATAGTTTAAATTGGAGTACATTGAATGGCATTCATAAAAACTGAAAAAAGAAACAATGAATAAAAAAACAAAAAAGTTAACCACATAAGCTTGTGTTTTGCATTTATTGAAGTCGATTTAAAGGATAAATATGTAATATATCTACAGAATGAAATCACAAAATGACCTTACTACATCATCAGACATTAAGGAAACATGCAATGTTGAAGTGCTGGCTTCTCTGACAACAACGCCACAGTCAGTATGTCCTCCTAAGTTTTGATTTGGGTCTGGAATGGTTTGTTTTTGTTTTGACTACAGAAGTAGGTGGCCACCCCTCACAGCTGTTTGCCCCTCGCCCTTGGATTGCCAGGCAAACGGCAAACCAACAGATGTTGCAATGATGAAAGCGGGCAAGCGAACTAGTTCAGAAATAACTGGTTCTACCTGACCTAAAAAAGCCTCTGCATTTTTCTAATAAGCTCCATGACCAGAAACGTGGTAAAATGAGGATAAATATTGGAGATGCTTTTGAAAAAGAGAGAAAGGTTTCAAGACTGATGCACAGCCGATTAAACAAGTAAGCATCTGTGTCAGCAACATGGCAACCTGGGTGCATATCGACTCTAAATGTTTTGAATTTGGACTGCAGTACCAATTTGAAACACTAGGTGTCAGAGTTACACATTTTTCCTTAAACTGAGCACTTGGAACAGATTGTAGTGAAATTAGAAAGAGAGTTTGTGATGACACCTAATAGATACCAGTGAGCTAAATCTAGATCACCACCAAAAGGTAAAACATCAAGCACAGAGATCAAAGTTATTATTAACAAACCAAGTTTCAGATTAAGATTATAAAATATACTTACTGATTCTGCATCGTGTTCCAATCCTGTATCATGATGTTCCATCTCATCATCTCTGAATTCTTTATTACCTATTGAAATATATCAGAGGATGATTTATTAGAATCAACATTTCGTTCAGGTGTTTGTAACACTGAAATCATTTCAACAAAGCCACATACTGTTTTGATTCTTTAAAATTGATGAATACACACTTTGATTGACCCTCTTTTCAGAGTATCTATCCTGAAAAAGTTGAAACTGCCATTTCTTCACAATGAACTTTGTTTGTAATAAGGACAGTCATTTATTTATTAGCCATTTGACCTCTGTCCCTTATCCTTTAAGAGCACCGGATTTCTCAACATTTTTTGACCCAGCACTCGCTTCAACCTTTTTTATACAAATGATTGTGTTTCCAAATGATTCAATGTCTCCAAACAAAGAAAGATACAAACTGAACTGTAATATAGCCCAATGACAAATGTTTACCTAGATAGGTAAGGCCATTTCTACCTGTGGTAACATATACATAGATATGTTATTAAATTGTAAGTAAAATTAGTAGATAAAAAAACAGTATATTTACTGTTTGATAAAATGGGACAATTCTTATATCTTAGATGCATTGAGATTGCACACATTGAGATCTAATTTGTGCGGCCTCATTCAGAGTTGGTCTAGGATGCATATTGATGCTTTCTTTCTGCAGAGCGTGTGCAAAGTTTCTTGGACTCCCTAGTCTCCATCTCCAGGGAAAAAATGACGTTGAGTGACAGTTCACCCTCATTATCTCATGATTTAAAATCTAACCGCTTGAGTAAGTTTGAGTTTTTTATTCCTCATGTCATTACAAGCATGTAAAAACAAAGTCTATGTATCAAAGAGATCTATGTACGAAAATTTCAAACAAACCCTGCCCTATATTAATTCAGTGAAGGACAACAAATATTTTTTATTTTTCAATTTGGATGATCCTGTTTGTGGAGGACAGAAGAGTTCCTGACAGCATGTGGAAACCGGATGTTTACTAGAAGTTGATCATGCTTTATAATAACGCAACGGAAAGGAAAAAGTAATTTCATTAAGGTGACGAGCTTAAATAACATTGATCTTTGAGTCTGCTTTTCATTGTTAATAGACACTGCAGTGAAGATCATACAGTTCACGGATAATCTGAATAGCTATAGAATAAAAAATGACCTTTTTTCATGTTTTATATGATGTTATTCTATCAAGTCAACACTAACTGTATATCCAGCTTGTTGACATCAGCCCATGTCTTACTCATTATCGCGGCTGCAAGTCTTCATCACTGTTTCATAATCAGTTCATGCTCATTGTAAGAAAGGTGATGTATTGTAGGTGGGCTACATAAATGTTTGGATGTAAAGAAGGAAAGTGACATTTGATAAGTTGTGGTCACTAGACACAACTGGAGATGCACTCCAATGCCAGATGTGAGCAGACACACTGGCTTCTTTTTGATGTAACCTCATATTTTTTTCTGTACTAAAACAATATGTGGACTCAGCCTGGAGAACAATGCCATTCTTCAGGTACTCTGTTTGCATAAACAATGCGTCCTTCCAAAATGTGTATTCACACAGACACATGCACACACATAGTAGAATACCTGATAGCGCTATCTTTCTTGAAACCTTACCTTTAAATGAGAACGTCTCGCTCTCTTTCTAATATTTAATTGCTCTCCTGCACAACATAATTGTTCTGCACATATTCATTGTATAGTTCAGACACTTTTTTGTTTCTGTGCAACACTAAACAACAATTCATATATCCACAATAACACACACCACAGAGAACAGTGTGAGTGATAAGAGTTATATAGAATACGGTGGAGGACTCACCTGTAACAGTTCGGTGTATCTCTCAGGGTCCTTCTCCATCAGAGCTCTTATTTGGCTGTTGTAATGTTCTGAAATACTCTCCTCCACCGCCACAGTGCAGGCCATGGCCCCCTCTTTTCCCAGGAGTGCGCTGGATGCACCTGAGGTAAATTCACAGGCAAAAAAACTAAAATACATCATTTTGAGATGCTATTTTGAGAAAGAATGCCTAACTTAATATAGTTTACAAACTGTTGAAGACTACCTAGGTAGATAGGACTCAGACACAGTAACCTGCTATAACCTCTATAGCAGATGCAGATGCAGAAGTTTTCATCTTATCTTTAAACTTTAAAAATCTGGGGAATTGCTAAAGAGATGTACCAACCTAATACAAACCCAGCAATGTTCCAGAGGGGTAACAGTGCTGTGGGGCGAACTCTGTTCTCAGCCAGAATTTCATTGAATTTCTCAAGATGTTTCTTTTCTTGATCCCACATTTCCTGCAAAAAAAAAAAAAAAAAAGACAACAACATGAAGATTGACGGTCATAAATCCCACAATTAAACTCATGCCATGTCTTCTGTTGAATCAATAAACTGCAACCAAACATGATACATCGTGTCTGCTGTGTTTGAGCTTGACTGAAGTCCAACACTTGAATAAGTAATATCAGAAAATACTTTTAAAGGATTATACACACATGTCATGTTCTACACCAAAGCAAGGTGTCAAACGTTGACACGTCCCATACCTGAATGAGAGGCCCAGTCCTAGATCGACCCAACACCGCCATCTGACCGGCGTAGATCCGGTTGGCCCCGTATTCACCTGCATGGTCGACCCGCAGCATCCGGTCCAACATCTCCTTCTCCTCACTGTCGCGTGGGGGCGGGAGCACACTGTAAGCGCGTGAGCTCAGCTGCAGAGGACCTGAACACAGAATAACAGACCCGTGACAACATTAAACACATGAATAAATGATCTATTTACTCTCCAGGGCAAAAATATGACCACACAGGACGCTCAAGCATCCGCTGTTGTAACCAATAAAAGTAACTCAATTCTTCACTTGGATAGTTTGTGCTGAAGTACTGATATGTTCATAACTATAAGTACTGATATGTTCATAACTAAGTACTGATATGTTCATAACTAAGTACTGATATGTTCATAACTATAAGTACTGATATGTTCATAACTATAAGTACTGATATGTTCATAACTAAGTACTGATATGTTCATAACTATAAGTACTGATATGTTCATAACTATAAGTACTGATATGTTCATAACTAAGTACTGATATGTTCATAACTATAAGTACTGATATGTTTATAACTATAAGTACTGATATGTTTATAACTATAAGTACTGATATGTTTATAACTATAAGTACTGATATGTTCATAACTATAAGTACTGATATGTTTATAACTATAAGTACTGATATGTTTATAACTATAAGTACTGATATGTTCATAACTATAAGTACTGATATGTTCATAACTATAAGTACTGATATGTTCATAACTAAGTACTGATATGTTCATAACTATAAGTACTGATATGTTCATAACTATAAGTACTGATATGTTCATAACTAAGTACTGATATGTTCATAACTATAAGTACTGATATGTTTATAACTATAAGTACTGATATGTTTATAACTATAAGTACTGATATGTTTATAACTATAAGTACTGATATGTTCATAACTAAGTACTGATATGTTCATAACTATAAGTACTGATATGTTTATAACTATAAGTACTGATATGTTCATAACTATAAGTACTGATATGTTCATAACTATAAGTACTGATATGTTCATAACTATAAGTACTGATATGTTCATAACTATAAGTACTGATATGTTCATAACTATAAGTACTGATATGTTCATAACTATAAGTACTGATATGTTCATAACTATAAGTACTGATATGTTCATAACTATAAGTACTGATATGTTCATAACTATAAGTACTGATATGTTCATAACTATAAGTACTGATATGTTCAACATGTGCTGAAGAAAGTTAAAGTAAAAGTTAAAGTAGCCTAGTGTTAGCAACTATCAGCTAACACTCTGTTATGAAACATGTCATTTTAACTTGTTTTTCCTGACACATGCTACAACAATAGAAGAACGACCAGCAGTAATTAGAATATATTCACCATGACATTATAGCTACATGTAAATAACAACAAGATTAGATCTGTGTTTTTAGCATTTCTGCAGAATAGCCATTAGCTTTCGCTGCTTCAGTCAAATATATAACTTACCTCTGCATTTTAAACACTGGCGAATCATCACTGGACCAATACAATTAGACATTTTTCATACAAATGTGTGTGTGCCCCTTTGCAGGGCAGTCACTTGTGATATAACCACCTGTGTGCGCTGACGTGCGAAAATTGTCATTGAAGATTTTAGAAGGTGGACTTGGCGCAGACATATGACGTAATAGTCTTACGATTTTCACAACACTGCCCCGCCCCCTTTATATAATCCCTGGCTGCTCTTTTCCCCTCATTGTAGAGGTTATGCATCTTGAAGATGCGGACCATTGCACAGCATAAACACATACATGCTGTGACGTCATGTAGGCCTACTTTTTTTTTTTTTAAGTGGGTTTATGTTGTCACATTTCTGTCACAGGAGACACAAAGCTGCTTGGAAAATATACAAATAGAATAAAATCGCCTTTAATATGGAGCTTTCTACCTTTATAAAGTTTTGAGATTCAAGAATTTATTGGTTCAGTATGAATGGAGCTGTGCTTCTATTTAGTCCATTAATATATATATATAAATAATATGCAGTTAATCTGTTTTCACAAATTTTAGCTTGAGCAGGACCAGCATTTGCAATAAATAGCAATCTGTTTCTCTAATCGTCACTTTAAAGACTTGAAGATATTCTCTTCAAAGGCTCATGCATATAGGGCCTAGTTGTTGATGTCGAATTTAGACTACAATTGTTTAGGGTTAAAGTAAACTTTCAACAACAACAAAAACATTCCTTACTTCTAAGTTTTTTAGAGTTGGTAAAATACGGAACACTTATCATTCTTTTTTCTTAAAACACATGAAATATTGTCTTAAAATATGCATTGCATTAGTCAGAAGAATCTATTCTGATGTCTAATCATAGTCTCCAACTTCTTATGGGTCACAAGATTAGGATTCTGGACAGGTCACAAGTCTCTCACATTTCTATAATACAACACAAACAAACCTACACTTAGCAGGCAATTTAGATTGCACATAGTCCACCTGACCTAAATATTTTTGGCTTGTGGGAGGAAACCAAACTTTAAAAAAAAAAAAAAAAAAAAAAGTAAATACACAAAATTACCTTTTGGCCAGACATTCTGCTTTTCTGTGTCAAACAAATCAGAAGTGCACATTTTGTATAAAGCTGTTATGTAAGACCAAACCTGACAATAAGGCAATAAAGCAAAGAGGTGAGGGAGTCTGAGGAGCAAACAAAGTACATGTGGATGGTCTACAGATGGCAGTGCTGCATCTGTAAAACCCTTCCAAAACTCCAGTTCCTCCCAATTTTCACAATAAACATAATTTCAATCAAAACTGTGTCACTACAGACCCTCTCACAGAAAGTCACCTAGCATACAGTGTTTGCATTGAGCCTCTTAATTTTCACCACTCTCTTTTTTTTTTTTTGCCTGTATAACTCCTGTTTTTAAAGGGCAGAAAAAGCACAAGTGTTTCAGTAAAGCATATAAAATAGTGGTGGTGTCGTGGGACGCAGGAATCTGTGGAATGATGGGGTTGACGGCTGTAGAGCTGTGATGGTCATAAGTTAACAAGGCCAGGACGGTGAATGGTGGGGTGTGTCGGTTTCTCTGTGTGTGTGTGTTTTTGTGGTGAGACACCAGTTATGTGTTTCCCTATCTGTCTGTCTCACTGTGGGTGGCTGTGCTTAGGCGGCTGCATATCAGTTCATTCGGGTTGCTTTTGTGTTCTCCGCAAGTGTGTCGATCTCAGGTGAAAGCAAGGCTTGATTCACAACTGGGGCCCAAGAGCCTCAAAAGCCTGAGGGTCATTGTGTGCCATTAGGTTTTATGTTCAAGAACATGATAACATTTTTAGAGAATTTGCTCTACTTATGCCTAATATCGCCTGGGATCCTCATTCAAAACATATCTGGTAAAGGTGTCCTGTGTCACAGTTTAGTTTCAAAGGCAGCACTCCACTAATTTAATGCACAAAGTGACTCTCCCTGGGAATTACCAAGTTAAAAACAGATGTCTTCTTTGGCATTGTAGTAAGCTCTCTTAGGGTTAAAGAAAACAATCATGATGATGACATATGGGAAAGAAGGGTCCAGGGTTGCTTAAATGATTTGGTCTCAGCTTCTTGTTTAGAAACTTTTTAAACCTTTTATATCTTTTTTTTTTTTTTTTTACTATTTTGGACAGGTTGAACACAACATTGACATTTTCTCCCATTAATTTAACTTGTTTACAAGTGTTGTGTTCTGAACAGAAGTTACAGTGAACAAATAACCATAATCTGGAGTTATGTTACCAGTCACCTGATGAGTAAGTAAATAATGACACTTTGTTTCTTAGCAATGTTTGTTACCAACAACTTGTGAAAATATACTTTGTTCTTTAGCTGCAAATGGTCCTTTTTCATCAGATCTTGCTCTGTGTTAACCATAGACTGTATAAAACGTTGATGTAGTCTCATTGATGCCTTTGACCTTTGGAGCACGACGATGGTGCTTGCCATATTGGAAATATTGTCTCAAACTGTCAACCTAGCAACAGCCAAAGACCCCATAGTTTGCCAATCAATGTTAACCAGCTTTTTGACTAAATTTGTTTATCTACTGTTTGTTGTGAGTGTTATGGGCTTGGGCAGCTCTTTAGCTGCCTGCTGCGGCAGAAAACAACACATTGACTCGGAAACAATGAATCAAAACACAGTTGCAGGCCAGTCAGTTTAACAATGACTTGAAACTTGCTTTAAACACAGAGGGTGGCTGAAGTTCTAGGTGATAATTGTGAGTGGGCTCAAGACTACAATTGACATCTTTCAGACATTCTTATATTACGTGTTACATATTTTTCTTTTTCACCACTTGATATTGGCTTCTTTACAGGGTTACTTGCAACCCTATGAACTCTGTTGATGGACAGCCTTGACTGATTGGCCCTTGATTATTTGCTGTGCTCACATGGAGCACATTTCTAATTATGTTCGGCCCATTTTTCACAAATTATTAGACAGAAAACCCGGGCACAGCTAGATTTATTCCAACATAGAAATGGTGTAATGGGTCTCTTGATTTAGTTGCCATTTATAGACTGCTGTTTAAGGTGTAATTCATTAAGACCAAAATGTAAACACACAGTGCACAAAGGTGGGGGTTGTAGGTGATATGGTAATGCAATGAGGTATGTGTGTGAGGACGTACCTGAACATAATTTGATTCACTGTATATGAGGCTGGTGCTTGGTGTCTGTGGATACAAAGAAGTGTGTGGCAGACGTGGTTTTGGAAGGAAAACTGAGCCGTTTGACAGAAAGCCTTTGCAGAACAGACTGACAGGTGCATCTACCCCCAAACAGCAAATACTCGCTCTAAGATTAACAGATATATGCAGTAACCAACAGTTGGGTTGACATTTTGGTGGAGCAATTGAAAAAGGGAAAGACCAAAAGAAAGTGCAAGTGCTCTGACTCTTTAAGGTTTTTTTTTGACTGATGAGTGGATAAAGAGAAAACCACAGAGCTGGAGAAAAAGTGAGACTGGCATGTATGTGTCTATGAACCTGTATGTACTATGTGTCTATGACTGTGTTTGTGTAATGTTTGCATGCATCCATGGACCTGTGTGTGTCTGCACACCCTTGCTCCGAGGCTCTGGTCAGACAGTGCATAGCTGTGGTGGGATCCAGGCTAAGCGCCTCTAGACTACAGTGAGTCAACAATGTCTGCTCTCACTGAGCGGAGACATGATAGGTCTTGTCTCATTTGGTCCCCGACTGTGTGGTGGGACACCCAAGATTGTGTTTGTGAGTGTGTTTGGTGCGTGCTTTTAAGTCAAGTTTGTTTTTTCGAGAAGCAGAATATATGACAGCAACATACGTCAGTGACTTTGTTTACACACAAAACATTGTCCTTAAAAATCCCTTCTCAATTGTCAATAAAAAAAGAAGATATATGGTTAAAAGCTTGACTAGCAGCACCATGCTCATCACCAAACCAGTCCTGGCTGATATTTTGTTTTTTGGACTAACATCTATTTCATCTTAAACTGGAAACTTTGAACCTTTTTGTGGAATTGGCCCTCTTGTGTATGTTCTTCTCACACAGTTATTTTATCAATTCAAGTAGTTTACATGTAAATACTCATATTTCTACTTTTATCTTTGAGATTTTTGTTGTTGCTGTACGGGACCAGAATTGTGTTTATGTTTATAATATTTTTCTCTAAGTTTGAGCTTTTAGTTAACACAAACATCCAACCATGTTTTATGAAAATAAGTCAAATTTCTTTAAAACGAGTAAAGTTACATTACTTTAGTTTTAGTTATATTGCAGGTGACTAGCAATCATTGGAAAACGACATAGTAAGGGCGCTGTCACACTGGCAATCCGTATCGTATCTAAGCACGCTTCACCCCTAAAGTCCAGTTCGTTTGACCAGTGTGCCCGCTCCGTGCCGTGCTCAAGCACAGTACACTTCCTTGGCCCTGGCACGCTTTGGAGAGGTGTGCTTTGGCTCGGTACAGTTCATGCAGGAGCACTCGGGTACAGTCTTTATTATGAAGAAATCCGGAGTGTTCTGTCTGTATCTGACTAAAATGACTCAAAGTAAAGACACAAAGCAGCAGTCATGTTCTGCGATGTGCGGACGCGGACTCGGCCGCGTGTCTCTTTTATCGTGCTTGAGCACAGTACGGGACAACATTGCCAGTGTGACTGCGCCCTAAGTGTTGAAGCAGTTGTAATGCTTTATAGTTTCTTAGTTGAAGCTGACACCCATGCAATAAATACATATTTTCACTGAAGTCCTTATGATGGTAAATAAATTTTAAGAGTTAAATAACTTAAACTTAACTTATATCCCTAAATTTAATGCTGGGTGATAGTAAGGTAAAAAAAAAAAACATTATAGACACTTGAGTAGGATTCACCCATCTGGAGAAACAAGCACACTGAGCTCCACTTTTCTATGTTTGCATTTGTCTTACAAAGTATTACATGTCATTTTGAATTTGAAACATTGTCTCTGTTAAAGTACACATTTTGTTCATTCAATACCCAACTTGAGAATCAAAGCATTCAGTTGCATAAAATGTGACCACCATGAAATCCCTTAAAGGTGGAAGTTCAAGATCAGCAGCAAAAGTGTCCTTAGATGCCCTTAGATAGGGTGTGTGTTCTCACATCTAGAGCTGCATTTGCTTTTGTCTCC